CGGTCAACGTACCTGTTTCCTTCGGGACAAATACCCCCTGCGCCCCAATGATGAAAAGCCCTCGGCAAAAAAACAAACACTCACTAGTAGGGTGCATCTATTGGTACCAGTAGGAAAGGATTGGTGACCAGACTTGGACAAGGCCACTGCAACGTCGATGGGAAACATTTTTGAATAGACACTATGGAACTCACTTCTTGAGTGGATGGCACGCAACAAGTCCAAACTTCATATTTAGCGCTAAAATGGTCTTCCCAAGAGGTGTAAACCCAAAAACTCGTAAAGTGAGTGAAACAACAACTAGGCAAACGGTGGGTATCCAAAAAGGCCTGAAAACACAAAAACAAAAAAGCGCCCCCCCCCCAAAAAAAATAAATCCTCTACTGGGATACGAGTTGGAAAGCAGTTTCGCGTCCAGAAGGGCTCAAACTGCGAATGACCAAAAACAAGAACATGGAAAGTGTCCAAAAGCTAACTTAAATACACAGAGCAGCAATCTTAAATACAAAAAATTGCTGGTGTGGATGTGCTGTGGATATGGCATGGGTAGCAAATGTGCGGGCAATCTGGGTGAGGGTGCCTGCTAGCATCATCTACACCGACTCCATGCTGAAGGCCCAAACATCAAGGCGGGGCAGCACTGAACAAGTGCTGCTAGTGCCACTGAACAAGTGGCCCCTCCCTGCACAGAACCAGTGCACTGTGGCAAGTTCAGCCTTCCCCCTCTGTTGCTCTGTTTTTTGCCTTTCAGATTCCCATGGGCCTGAAAGGATTGCAGATTCCCATGGGCAGGAGCTGAAAGGATGCAGGCCTGCAGGCCTGCATCAACTCAAAGCTGCAGGCCCAAACATCAAGGCGGGGCAGCACTGAACAAGTGCTGCTAGTGCCACTGAACAAGTGGCCCCTTCCTGCACAGAACCAGTGCAGTGTGTCAAGTTCAGCCTTCCCCCTCTGTTGCTCTGTTTTTTTGGCCTTTCAGATTCCCATGGGCAGGAGCAAGGATGCAGGCCTGCAGGCCTGCATCAACTCAAAGCTGCAGGCCCAAACATCAAGGCGGGGCAGCACTGAACAAGTGCTGCTAGTGCCACTGAACAAGTGGCCCCTCCCTGCACAGAACCAGTGCAGTGTGTCAAGTTCAGCCTTCCCCCTTTGTTGCTCTGTTTGTTTTGGCCTTTCAGATTCCCATGGGCAGGATCTGAAAGGATGCAGGCCTGCAGGCCTGCATCAACTCAAAGCTGCAGGCCCAAACATCAAGGCGGGGCAGCACTGAACAAGTGCTGCTAGTGCCACTGAAAAAGTGGCCCCTCCCTGCGCAGAACCAGTGCAGTGTGTCAAGTTCAGCCTCCTCTTTGCTGCTCGGTTTTTTTTGCCTTTCAGATTCTCATATGCAGGATTTGAATGGATGTAGGCCTGCAGGCCTGCATCGACTTTAAGCTGCAAGCCTCATGGCCAAACATCAAGGCAGGGCAGCACTGAACACTGCTAATTTGCCACTGAACAAGTGGCCCCTTCCTTCGCTGAATAAGAGCAGTGTGGCATTGTTCAAGTGCCCCTCCCCCTGTGTTGCTCTGAGAGTCTCTTTTTTCAGGATCCCCATGTGCAGAATCTGAAAGCGTGCAGGCCTGCAGGCCTGCATCAACTCTAAACAGCAGGCCCCAACATCAAGGTGGGGCAGCACTGAACAAGTGCTGCTCATGCCACTGAACAAGTGGCCCCTCCCTGCATTGAATCAATGCACTGTGGCAGTCTTCAACTGCACCCTCCCCCTGTGTTGCTCTCATGTTGTTTGCCTTTCAGATTCGCATGGGCAGGGTTTGAATGGATGTAGGCCTGCAGGCCTGCATCAACTCTAAGCTGCAAGCCCAAACATCAAGGCGGCTGTGGCCCGTTTTGTGGAAGCCAAGGTTTGGACAGCCGCAATGGGAAGCGCCAGGAGGAGCTCGTGACTCGGCACGTGTCCGCTGTGCGGAACTTCAAGGACTGGCTGCAGCCAATTGGCGTGGAGCTGTCCAATGCTTTCCGGCCTCGCGCAGCGCCCGCAGCAGACAGGCCAGCAGGCCAGCAAGAAGTTCCACATTGCTTCACTTTGTTGCAGGGAAGAGATTTGAGCAAAAGTCACAAAGATCTGATGAACGAGACTGTCCAAGCAGAGGGCACTTACTGTTGCTTGAAGATGTACGTCCGCGATCTGAACTTGAGCCAGCCTCCACTGCTAGTGTGCACACCGGAGCGCATAGTGCGTGTTCAAGGCCAAGTGCCCAAGACTGTGCATGCCATGGTGCCTTTGTCCAGCAAACAGATTGCCATGTAATTTGCATTGGAGGCGCTTTGCCGCACTAAATTCGCACTGCCAAAGGCAGCAGAGGCTGTAAGAGCATTGCTTTGGGATAGGTCGTACAGGGTTTTCGACTTGAGCTGGCTGGAGCAGCAGTCACAAGTTTTTGAGCCTGCGCCAGAAGGACATGCTTATTTTCCCAATTTGCCAAGATCCTGCTGGCAATTGCTAGCCCGGTTTCGATAGGCCAGCAGGCTCGCACGCTTGGAAGGCAAGAACAATATGAGCCACGCAGGTGCGATGCAGGCAGTGAGTGATAGGTACATGCGCCACACGCAAGTCAGCTGGAGCATGGGCTCAGGAATTGCTTTTTTTGGATAGGGCATTTGTGGTGGGAATGTTTGCCACCATTGTGAAGGGTCGCATGGGCAACATGGAAGTGGCAGGGGTTACGTTGCATGAGCTCTTGGACAGCAGCGCCATCGCAAACCAGACCAGGGACTTGGACTGCGTCGAGGTGTTCACTGTGGCAAACTCTGTCAAGAACGCAGCCTTGGAGAAGAATTTCTCAGCTGAGTCCTACGACTACCTGCAGGATGGGAATGCCAGCGTGACAACACGAGCAGGCCTGCTCCAGGCAGGCACCCTTGTGGCCCGAATTCGCGATGGAGGTTTGTGCACGTTGGCGCCTGAATGCAAGACTTTCACTTTTGCTTGCAGCTCAGTCACTCAGCGCACCAAGGGCAACTTTGGGGGCAAGGAGGACTCAGCCATTGTCCAGAACGGGAACTCCATCGCCTTGGCTGCCCTCATGCTGTTCATTTTGGCTCTTGCGCGGGGTGTCTTTGCATGCCTGGAAAACCCAGCCGGCTCCTGCCTCTTCTCATTTTTGGAGCCTTGGCTGGAGAAGTTGGAAGCCTGCATGGACATGTTCTTCTCAGGCCGGCAGGCCAGCAGTGGAATTGGGCCCCGGCTTATTTACTATTGCGTGGACCGCTGCACCTTTGTCTTGCAGAAGCCGACTTTCCAGAAGAAGTACAAGTTCATGTGCTCAGGGACGTGGTTCCAACCTGTTGCGAAAGTTTGCACTTGTCCGGGGAGAAAAAAGAAGAAGCACCTAGAGCTGATGGTGAGGAAGAAGAAGGGTGGCAAGGTCCAAGTCAACGGAACTGACCAGTTGAAGGGCAGTGGCCTGTACCCTGCTGAACTTGGCGCTGCCATTGTTCTGGCTTGGATGCACAGCAAGACAGCTCCTGCGCCAACTGCCCCCGGCCCCGACTTCGAGGACCCTTGGGCAGAGAAGGCCGCAGACACACAACCAAAGAAGCGGGCCAAGCAGCAGGAGAAGTCAAGCAGCAGCAGGCCAAAGAAGCGGGCGAAGCAGCAGGAAAAGTCAAGCTGCAGCAGGCCAGCAGGAGCTGCAGGCAAGCAGACGTTGAAGAAGCCTGCCGCCCAGTTGCAAGAGCCTGACTTTGATCCCTGGGGGTAGATGACAGTTCCGAACGCTGGCCAGAGAGAAAGAGGTGATAGCATGCTGATGCGACACGCATTGCAGATTGTGCCTGCTGCCTTCTTGTTGCGCTTCAGCAGGCACATGGCTCACTTGCTAGCACTTTACTCCTTTTCATCGTAAGTGTCCTGCGTCTGGCCATGTTTGGAGGCGCTATGGCCTTTCCCATTTTGACCAGCGATGAAGAGCATGCACTTGCCAGCCAAGATGATTCACCATGCCATGAAGCTGGCCAGCAGGCTGAAGTGGAAGCAGGCCAGCAGGCTGAGACCGCCGCACCTGAGGAGAAGGCTGATACTTCCACCAACAAGTCGATCACCCCAAACGCAGGGACCAAGGAGCTTCAAGCGGCCACGCTTGTCCAGGCAGAGACAGAGCCAGAGGCAGAGACACCCACCTTCACTCAGCTGAAAGGTGTCCTCACGGAGGGTGAGTTGGCTGCCTTGAAGAAGGCTGGACAGGTGGCACCTGAGACTGAGACGGACCAAAGCAACTCACAGCAGAAGCCAGACCTTCCTTGCTTGGACACAAGTCGGGCTCAGGCAAAGGAGGCGAAGGCCAAGGCCAAAGTGAAGGCCAAGGCCAAGGCCAAGGCAAGTCAGGCTGAGACCAAGGGAAAGCGGGCCATGAAGAGGCCGAGTTCAGCACACAAGAAACAGAAGTCTGATGATTGCAGCCAGAGCCCGTCAGAAGATGGGGATGCCAGAAACTCACTTGCGGATGAGCCTGAAGAAGAAGAAGAGCCACCCATTGAGGCATGGCCCACTCGCAAGACTTTTGCTGGCCGCATTTGCCCTGCCAATGAGGATGGCAAGTTGCTTTGGGAGCAGAAGAGAGCTGCCTTCTATGGCAATGTGCCTTCCAAATACTGGCGGGATGATTTGGAGCGTGAGTGGTACAAACTCTTCACGTTAGAGAAAACCACCAAGCAGGCCGTTGATGAGTTCTTGCAGAACCATGCCCATGAGTAGGCACAGGGAATTGCCATGGCCGGCATTGTGCGATGGTTCCACATGTTGGGCCTGCAGGCCTGCAGGCCACTAATGAGCTAAGGGAGAAAAAGTGTCGCGGATTCCTAGCCTCCAACTACTTTGCATGAATGCCATTCGTTATTTCTTGCGCAAGGATTGTGAGGAATTGGTGTTTGCACGGCAGTCGATTTTTGGTTCAGATTCAACAGTGACTTGCGTTCCTGCTGCCAGCAGCCAGTTAGTCATGAGTGCTGGAGAACCCATACCTCACCAAAATGCTTTGCTGAGCATCTTCAAGGATGTGATGAAACTCCTCCAAGAGTCAATCGACCAGAAGACTCCAGATGGCTACCCCAAGTATGTGGACGTTTGCGAATGGATGTCAGCCCAGTTGAGCACACAAACGCTGCGCGATGAATATGTGAAGAAGCTTCAAGATTTGGAGTCCTTATGCTGCTCTTCTGCTGGAGCAGACCCGATCCTGGACTTTCAGACCAAAAAGTTTGCTGGGGGGGGCAAGTATGAGAAGCGTCCGCTGCGTTTGTGGCAGCTCGGAGTCCAAGAAGATTGCCATGTCAAGGGTGCTCCTCCATTGCATGCTGTGCGAGACAATATGCAAAAATTCCTGACTGGCTTCGGAAACGAAACCGAGAAATACCCACTCGAGGTCTTGTTTGACTGGTGCGAGCCCATGCCTGACAGCAGCAGGCCAGCAGGCCTGCTGGCTGATGGGATACTACCACTCAGCGTCAGTCTGAGCACGGGGTCTTCTGTCACAATGGCATCCCACCTTGTCTGCTGGGGAGTGCTTCAGCTGGGCTTGGACTTGTCCACCTTTGAAAAGGAGTTGCGGAAAGACATCTCTGAGAGGATCCTGAAGTGCATCCGTGTCTTGGCTGACAGCGACACTGCAGCCCGAGTTATCTTGACCTCAACTTGCCTAGGTATTTTTGCAACGCACTGCCCGCAATCGAGTGTGGAGTCTCAGACAATGGAGAGCTTGCGGGTCAAGACGGATGCTACAGCCAGGGTCAGGCCAACTGTGGTCAACATGCACTACATGCCTTTGACTTAGTCATGCTTACCTGTCAGGGGACATGGCTTTGCATGCTTTGCATCTTCCGATATGCACGCTGAGGTTTGAAAAGATTGTGACAAAGAAGTTGGCATCAGGCAGCCGCAAGACTCGGGCAGACTTGCTGCAAGAGTCCATATATCGCCACAACAAGCAGGCAGTCAACAAAGCGAGGATCATGCCAGATGAGGTCACTGCCCTGTACGTTTACGACGCAGCCCCGCCAGACATTCGACGCATGCTGAAAGTGATCTGGGGGACAGAGGTCCCAGCCCACACTGCCGTTCCTCTTCATTTGCTGTCTGGGAACTTCTGGCTGCCAAAGAAGTCATTATCACTGAAGGTGAATGCGCAGCAGAACCCTCTCTGGCACACAGTCTGCAGCCACTCTTGGGACAAGGTTGCCGAATACATTCGCCGGCTTGAAGGGAAGTGGAACGCCAAATGCCCCTTGATTGAATTCAGTGAGAACTGTTGTGAGGTGACAGGCAGAACTGATAAAAAGTCTCAACTTGTCGTCCTTTTAAGGTGAGGAGTTCTTGAGCAAGGGGATGGTGCCTCCCATCCATTCCAGCAGCCAGATTGGGCAGTTTCGTGATGTTGGCAAGGAGCAGGAGGTCTCTATCATGGCCTGCATGATGGTGCACTTCCGTGAGCAGATCCTCGCCATCAGTGGCAGCGAGAAGAACCACACTGTCCTTATGTCGCAGTGGAGAAAGGGGCTCCTTGACAATAAGTTGATGTCCGAGGCAATGGCCATGAGGCCTGACTTCGAAGTGAAGGACTTGGGATTTGTGCTGACCCAAGAGCAGGCCATGGTGAAGTTGCCTGATAGCTTCGACCGCAGCGAAGAAGCTGAGGAGCAGGCACGCAGGCTTACAGGCCTCGCCCGTGCCTTGAAAGCTGAGCAAGATTTGATGCGAGGGCACAAAGCTGCCAGTCAAAGGCACAGCACGCAGGCCTTAGCCACAGAATGTGAGTTTCAGAAGTCCGTGACCGATGCTGTGAACAATTTGTGGGAAGAGCACAAGCTGTTCTATCAGTGCATGATGGCGAAGAGCCTGGCAGCAGCAGAGACTTTGACTCAAGCTGCTCATTCCCAGCTGGCTGGCAGGATGTTGACCAGCAGGGAAGATATCCCCACTCTCAGCTTCCTGAATTTGCCAATGCTGGGCGCCCTGGCCTCCTTCCACACCAAGACTCTGGCCGCGCATGTGGCGACTCAGCTGAACTCCATGCCGAGCACTTCTGCCTATGTCATTTTCCCGCCCAACCAGCCTGAAGCACGAGTCGGCAAAGTCAACAAGAGGGAAAAGGAGAAAAAGATCCAAATCCACCGCGACCTGTGGTTCCAGGAGTTGCAGAGCAACTCTGACTTGGTGGTTTGGCGCGCCACAGGCCTCTTCAACATTGAGACTATGTACAGTGATGATCGAGATCTTGGGTTTGAATTCTGGCTTGTGGTTGCTTCATCGGTGGAGGCAGAATTGGCCCGCAAGAACGTCTTTGGAGCCTCCACCTTGTTCCGCAGGAAGGCTGTAACCAACAAGTTGGAGCGCATGCCCCGGAAAGACATGGCCAACTTCTGCAAGCTTCACACTTGCGCCTGGGCCCGGGACACTAACCGCGATCTGGATGTGGAGAGGAAGCAGTGGCTTTCAGGGGCGCAGTTGTACGCTGAGATCCTGACTGCGGCTTGCCAAGGCACAAGGCTGACCGCACAGAACACCCTGATGATCAAAGATGAGACGATGTATGACACAGAGCTTGCCTCTGCAGTCCAGCGCATGAATGCTGTCAAGGACAGGGCTTGGCCCAAGCTGGCATATGTTGGGGTAACGTGGGGCGTCCAAGCCTCCCACAAGGAAGCAATCCTGGCAAATGTGGAGCAGGCGGTCGCGGAGTCTGTGAAGGGAGACATTGCCCGCGGTAGTTATGATTTGGCACCCTTGCCAGCAGGCTTGCAGGCAGGCAGGCCTGTCAGCCAGCAGGCGCCCGTCTTGGACATGGACAAGTTCCAGCTGAGCGTTCCTCAGCAGTTTGAACTGCGCTGGTTGCAGGAGACCTTGGATAAGGGCTGCTCGTTGCTTTGCCAGACTGCGAGGTCTGGAAGAACATGTCCTGGGCCGACATCAAGAAGAAGCATGAGGAAGAATTCAACCCAGAAGGGAAGGTTGGCCGGAAGCGAGCAGCAGACACAACCACAGAAGAGCCCCTTGACTGGACACTTAAGGCCAACACAATGCTGGCAGGTAGGTGTTTTGCTTCATTGTTGTCCGGGTGTCTAAGGCTGCAGGTGGCCACCAAGGAAGAGACCAGCAACGTGACGCTCAGCTCAGACCTTCAGGACAGTGGCTTGGAAGGCATGGGGCGCTATCAGCCGGCAGGGGTGACCACGCACGAGTTCTGGGTGAGCAAGCAGGGCGATCTCTACGTGAAGGCTTTGGCCGAGACCGTGCTTGATGGCCCCGTCTTCCCGGTGTTTGGCTTCTTCAAAACAGGCCCGGAGGCAAAGTCGTTGGAGGAGACCGGGGGCTTGATTCCCTACAGCATCACCCCCACTTCCAAAGTGGTGCCCAAGGCAAAGGCTGGCACTGAGATGCCAGCATGCATGCGATCTTTTGCCGAGAAGCCTGTTGCATTTCAGGACATCTTGAACAAAATGACAATGGCTTCCCTCCCGCAGCCAGCCTTGCACCTCCACACCATTGCAAACGAAGTCAATGGCTCCAACGTGTCTTGGACAGTGAAAGCACTGGAGCCAGCAGGGCTCAAGGCAAGCGTTGAAGAGCCAGGTGATGACAACAAGCCCTTCCCCCCTCGCGAGATCAACAGGCTGTCCCTCTACACAAACCTGGGCAAGCTGACCAAGGTGGAAATGAAGTTCGGGCTGGAGTTTGACCCGCAGGCAAACAAGTTCAAGGGGATGTTTCCAATGGCATGCACGAAGCAGGCCTACCGGATTGAGCGTGGAGTCATTGCCAAGCTCTAGGGTGGCACAGCCATGGCTGGCTTGCAGGCCTGCAGGTTCAGGCTTCAGCAGCTGCCTCATTTTGATCCTCAAATGAGCGGTGGATGATGCTATAAAAAGGAGCGTCACAGTTTTGAAAGTTGCTAAACGCTTGGCAAAGAAACGTTTAAAGCAACATGTCTTGGAAACCACGGTTTGTGAGACAAGGCCTCCTTCCGAGACAGTTCCGAGACAGCCCCTTGCCGCGTGAGCGTGAGGCCCGGACTGTTCTGCTTGGCGTTGGCCGATGTGCAGGCCTGCGGGCCTGCAACAAGGAGTCTCTGCAAATTCATGCCGCTTTCCCCTGGCCACATCCACAAGCTTGCCAGTAAGGTTGCAACACGGCGCTTATGACATTTGGATTGCAACGTGTGGTGAAATTGTGGCCCCGCCTGCAGGCTTTGGCAGCCAGTGGGCGTGTAGCGGCGGCTGCCAGCTCCTTGGATTCAGAGTGGTGGGGGGCAAACCAAAGAACACACACACACCATGGGTAGACACTTACACCCTTTTTTGCAAGATTGAGAGCGTGGTGAAACGGCATGCGCATCAAGAGGCTTGGTGTGTTGCATACTGTGCTTACTGATGCCTGTTGGCCTGCATGCCTGCTGTGTTTTGTCAACATTCTATGCATAATGCACTCACGTTGTGTATATGTGCTACCCCCCTCTCTGCTACTTGACAATTGATGTCTCTCACTCATCCCTTCTTGGGCTTCTTGTCATCCTTCTTGTCAGCCTTCTTGTCATCCTTCGTATCCTTCTTCACCTTTTTCTTGACGTGCTCCTCGTCCATGTCAGATTTGTCTTCTTGCCGCCTCTGCACTTGCTGGCCTGCCAGCCTGTCAGTGGAAGACCCCACGCCTGCGAGCAGGAGTTGTCGGAGATTCTCCAGCTCACTATGTTGCTTGGCAATCAAGGAGTGAAGGGATCTTTGAACATCATCATGCAATCTCTTCTCATTGACTATTTGCACCCGGTGGTCTGACTGCATTTGCTGCACTTGCTTCACCAGCTGCATGTTCATCTCATTAGCTTCTGAGATGGCCAGTTGGTGGTTGATCAGAGTCCTTGCAACTTGATCTGCAAACCGCCGCTGCATTTCATTCAGGTCTGCAAATGCGTCCTGCGCCATTTGCATTGATCGGTCTTGAAGCCGCTTGTCGAGGCGGCGGTTGACACTGGGAGGGCATCCTTTCTTGGCGGCAGTCTCGGAGGCAGGCTCGGAGGGTGCAGCGCTGGCCTCTGCCTGTGGCCCTGGTGCCCAAACTGCTGGCATTGGGAATGGTGTGTAGTATTGTTGGGGCATTGTGTTTGGAGGATGCGCTGGAGGTGGTGGGACAAAGGCGAATGCGGCCTGCAGGCCTGGTGCTCCAGGCTGCAGCGGTGCCGATGGAGATGGCCCCTGGTTGTGAACAGCCTCTGGCCATGCTGCCTGGGGTGTGGGGCTGCTGGCCTGCTGGCCTGGTGCTCCAGGCTGTAGAAGTGGTGCCGATGGACATGGCCCCTGCCCTGGTTGTGAACAGCCTGTGGCCATGCCGCCTGGGTTGTGGGCCTGCTGGCCTGCTGCCCAAGCCTGCTGAAGTGGAGCAGCTGGAGCTGTTGCCCCCTGGTTGTGAAGGCCTGCTTGTCCTGCTGCCTTTGGTGTCTGGCCAGCTGGGTGCTGTTGTGGGCCGGGTTGGCTCTGCTGCTGCCGCTGTGCCTCCTGCACTTGGTCTGGTGGCGTTTGCTGCTGCGGCTTTCGCGGTGGATTGCTTGGCTCTGGTGGCCGCATTTCACTTGATGGCTTGCTTGCACCTGGCCTGCTCCCTGAAGCTGTAGGTGGCGGTTGTTGCGGCGCTTCTTGTGGCCGTGCTTTTGCTTGGATCTTTGGCTTTGCCGCTTGCTTACTAGCCATTGCCACGCTTAGCAAGTCTAGCGCCAGGAGGCGGCAACAATGCATACTACTTGAGCAAATGCTGCATGCAGACTCCACAATACATTGACATCATGTCTAAGCGAAATTTGGGAATGCAAGATTGGCATTCTGACTGTTCATGGCTGCATCCAAGGCTCATTGGGCACAGCCGCGGCGGCATAAGGGCGGCAGAAGAAGGGTGGATCCTTGGCAAGTGGCTTACCGCGCAAAGCCACGCAAGGGTGTGGTGATGTGTGTGTGGACCATGCCAAAGCTGTTAAAGGCAATCATAGACTGGACCTTCACTTGATTGCACTGCGCCTTGTTGCGCAGCGCAGGGTAAGGCAGTTTGTTGAGGGGGTGCTTGAACATTTCAGCTCTCATTGGTGATGCTGGCGCAGGAAGTCAGCAGGGGAAGGGTGAAGTGGCAGAATTGCACATTGCGAATGTCCTACTTTCCTGCGACTCTTAAAAGCTATGGGCCGGGTAAGCTGGCAAGCTTCCCTACACTGAGGCTAGAAATAACATCACGGTGTGTGCTTCAGACTTAAGAAAATGGTGGAAGTCAAAGTTCCTGAGGGGCGGAAGTTTGAGCAGCATGGCTGCATTGAAATGTTAAACTTGAAGTGGCCCTCAGGCCAATCATCTGCAACAGTTGACATCATGGTTTAAGGCCATGATCTTGCCCATGGAAGTGCGCCCGTCAAAAGCAAGGCTACATTTGAGCGCTGAGTGATGCATGTGGGAGTGAGGAGGGGGTGATTGCGCAACGGGGCGCTACACTTGGAAGGGGGGGGCAACCATGAACTTGCTCAGCACCGCCCCGCCTGGATGTACATACTGCTAGGTCTTGTTTGCAGGCTGGCAGGCCTGGAGGGGCACTTGACTGGGAGGAGCCACTTGTCATTGTTCAGTGGCATTAGCAGCACTTGTTCAGTGAATTTGAGAATGAAGTTGCAAACTGCAGGCCTGCAGGCCTGCGCCCTCTCAAATCTTGCCCATGAGACCCTTCAGGAACATGGAAGCAACGCACTAGGAGGCAATTCTGGGGAGGACTTGAACAGTCACACTGGGGCCACTTGTTCAGTGGCAATTAGCAGCACTTGTTCAGTGCTGCCCCGCCTGGTTGGTTGGGCCTTGAGAATGCAGTGATTGTACTGAGTCTGGCAACCTGCAGGCCTGCAGGCCTGCGCCCCATGGGAATCTGGGGGGGGGGGGGAAAGGCAAACAGCGTAGAGGGCAGTTTAACAGTGACATGCTGAACTGATACTTGTCAGTGGCATTAGCAGCACTTGTTCAGTCCTGCCCCGCCTGGTTGAAAATGAAGTGGATGCACAAACTGCAGGCATGCCGGCCAACCCTGTCAACCCTGGCCCTGCCTGGACATGGAAGCTTTTCTGGGGAGGGGGCACTTGAAAAGTCACTGATTCAGTGCAGGGAGGGGCCACTTGTTCAGTGGCATTAGCAGAACTTGTTCAGTGCTGCCCCGCCTTGATGTTTGGGCCTTCAGAATGAAGTGGATGTACTGCAAACTGCAGGCCTGCAGGCCTGCGCCTTGTCAAATCTTGCCCAAGGGGCGCTTCAAGAACATGGGAGCAACGCACTAGGGGGAATTCAACATGAACAGCGCCATGCTGCACTGATTCAGTGCAAAATTCAGTGCAGGGAGGGGCCACTTGTCGTTCAGTGGAATTAAAACTGTTCAGTGCTGCCTGCCCCGCCTGGTTGGTTGGGCCTTGACTGAAGTGGCAAACTGCAGGCCTGCAGGCCTGCACCCTGTCAAATCCTGCCCCTGGATCTTGGGGGGGCAAACAGTGTGAAACCAGATGGCGGTAGCAACACAGGGGGGAGGGGGCATGTGCCATGCTGCAGCGTTTAGTGCACGAAGGGGCCACTTGTTCAGTGGCATTAGCAGCACTTGTGCAGTGCTGCCCGTCTGGTTGAAAATGAAGTGGATGCACAAACTGCAGGCATGCCGGCCTGAACCCTGTCAAACCCTGCCCTGCCTGTGGGATCCTTCAAGGAGGGGGCACTTGAAAAGTGCGTGCAGGGAGGGGCCACTTGTTCAGTGGAATTAGCAGCACTTGTTCAGTGCTGCCCCACCCCAGAGGGCGGTAGCAACAGTTTAGCAGTGACATGGTGCATTGATTTAGCGCAGGAAGGGGCCACTATTGTTCAGTGGCATTTGCAGCACTTGTTCAGCCCTGCCCCGCCTGGTTGAAAAAATCAAGTGGATGTACAAACTGCAGGCATGCAGGCCATTCTGAGTCAACCCCTGCCCTGCCTGTGGGATCCTGCAAGGACATGGGAGCTTTTCTGGGGATGGGGGCACTTGAGTAGCGCCTGCATTGATTCAGCGCAGGGAGGGACCACTTGTTCAGTGGCATTGGCAGCACTTGTTCAGTGCTGCCTGCCCCGCCTGGTTGGTTGGGCCTTGAGACTGAAGTGACAGTGGATGTACTGAGGCAAACTGCAGGCCTGCAGGCCTGTGCCCTGTCAAATCCTGCCCATGGGAATCTGGGGCGGGCAAACAGCATGAAACCAGAGGGCGGTAGTACCACAAAAAGGGGGCACTTGAACAGTGCCACGCTGATTCAGTGCATCAAGGGGCCACTTGTTCAGTGGCAATTAGCAGCACTTGTCCAGTGCTGCCCCACCTGGTTGGTTGGATGTTGAGAACGGGTCTTGAGAATGAAGTGGATGTACTGGCAAAATGCAGGCCTGCGTCCTTTCAAAGCCTGCCCATGGAATCAAAAAGTAAAGGCAATCAGCATGAGAGCAACATAGGGAGGGGGCAGTTGCAGAGTGCCACACTGCACTGATTCAGTGCAGTGAGGGGCCACTTGTTCAGTGGCATTAGCAGCACTTGTTCAGTGCTGCCCAGCCTTGATGTTTGGGCCTGCAGCTTTGAGTTGACGCAGGCCTGCAGGCCTGCACCCTTTCAGATCCAATCTGAAAGGCAAAAAAACAGAGCAACAAAGAAGGATGGCTGAACTTGCCACACTGCACTGGTTCTGTGCAGGGAGGGGCCACTTGTTCAGTGGCACTAGCAGCACTTGTTCAGTGCTGCCCTGCCTTGATGTTTGGGCCTGCAGCTTTGAGTTGATGCAGGCCTGCAGGCCTGCACCCTTTCAGACCCTGCCCATGGGAATCTGAAAGGCAAAAAACAGAGCAACAAAGGGAGAAGGCTGACTTGCCACACTGCACTACACTTCTGTGCAGGGATGGGCCACTTGTTCAGTGGCACTAGCAGCACTTGCTCAGTGCTGCCCCACCTTGATGTTTGGGCCTGCAGCTTTGAGTTGATGCAGGCCTGCAGGCCTGCACCCTTTCAGATCCTGCCCATGGAAAATCATGGAAATCTGAAAGGCAAAAAACACCGAGCCACAGAGGGGGAAGGCTGAACTTGCCACACTGCACTGGTTCTGTGCAGGGAGGGGCCACTTGTTCAGTGGCACTAGCAGCACTTGTTCAGTGCTGCCCCGCCTTGATGTTTGGGCCTGCAGCTTTGAGTTGATGCAGGCCTGCAGGCCTGTACCCTTTCAGGTCCTGCCCATGGAAAATCATGGAAATCTGAAAGGCATAAAAAAAAACAGAGCAACAGAGGGGGAAGGCTGAACTTGCCACACTGCACTGGTTCTGTGCAGGGAGGGGCCACTTGTTCAGTGGCACTAGCAGCACTTGTTCAGTGCTGCCCCGCCTTCATGTTTGGGCCTTCAGCATGGAGTCGGTGTAGATGATGCTAGCAGGTACCCTCACCCAGATTGCCCGCACATTTGCTACCCATGCCATATCCACAGCACATCCACACCAGCAATTTTTTGTATTTAAGATTGCTGCTCTGTGTATTTAAGTTAGCTTTTGGACACTTTATGGTCAATGCTGCCTACCAAAATGGCACCCATTTTAAACGGCGTGTCCAAATACTTCGCAAGACACATCTGCACAACTTTTATTTCGCAACTGGGCAAACCGGAATCCACACATGAAGCAGCTGGGCTTGCTTACACCCCAACCCCCTCAGAGATCTCGATACAATTTGCGGCAATGCATACGGAACCGAAACTCCGCTCACACCTGCACACCCGACAGGTTTCGAGTTTCTCGAAAGGGAGTCTAGGGTCTGCAGGGGGCACTGGTCGCAGAGTTCTTTGAAGTAGTTGTCGGTGCTGCCTCTTCGGTAAGGAACTGGGGATGCCTGTTACCCTAGGAGCCCAACTCATTATTTGAGGGTTTTGGGGCTCCATCTAGGGATATTTGATGCCAAACACAGCTGCAGTTCCAGCAACATTCGTCGAGAGACTTGTCTGCCGAACGCAGAGTCCATCAAAGCAGTAGCATGCCGGAGCATAAATGTGCCAGTAATACCAACAAACGGACGACAGAATACCAAACCTGACCCAGGACCTACCAAGGGTGCAAGTACCTAAGAAGGTACTCGACTCATATTCCATCATCCAACACCTCTGGGCTACGATGCCCTAAATGTTGCAAGTAGGGAACAAGGGAAACCCCGAAAATTCCCATGGTTTGTGGTTATTCGCAATAGTTAGGGCATCCACCTTAGCGCTCAAAGTGAAAGATCTAAACTGGGCTGCCCTCAGATCCCCCGCTAAAAGTTTAACTTTTACTGGGGCAAATGGAAACTGCCACTAAACACTAGGCTAAAAAGCTAAGTTGAACCGGATGGCTGGCTGAGCCACCAAATACCAAGACAAGACTCCCTTCCCACGGCGGTTTGCCTTGTGGAATGGAGGCGCACACATCCTTCAGCAGGGCGACCTTGCCGTACTCGCCAAGGTTGTGGTCCGGGATCTCCTCAGCCAGATGCATCGACGAATCGACCCGCGCAAGGGATGCCTTCCCAAAGGGCGCTTTCCAGAAAACATGGTAGACGGTTCATAGATCTGCACAAGTGACTGCA